AAACAAATGACAGATCAAGCATAGTTCTTATAAAAAAGTACAGCACATATTTAGCATGGATGCCTTGGGTTCATTTTTTGGAAAGGAAAGGAGGGGGGCAAAATAAAGAAGGGAGGGAGGATGGAAGTAAGGGAGGGAAGCAAAGCCCAGACCTTCGAAACAAATAACTATATTCCTCAGAGAAAGAGTTGAAAGCCAAACATACTAAAGCACTGACAGCTTTAGTACACTTAGTACACTTGGCATGTACAGTATTTATTATGGGCAGAGTCACCATGGTATAACTATATGTACCGAGGAAGGATATACATACTGTCAAGTGAGTGTCACATATCTATGGTCTTAATGGAACTTCAGGGAAGCTAATCAACAACTTCAAATTGTAAAATGAGAAACATGCTGGACGTTTACAGTAAGAACAGAAAAGAAATAAATGCCTTCTAATTGTTATCAATCAATACAGAAACAAATGTATGAGCACTCACTGATATTGGAATAGTCTAAAGTTTTCAGAGAACAAGAGGTACTACTACAGCCCTTACCACAAATTTAGTAACAGTAAATACAAAATATACATGCCTTTACAAAACCTTCCATAGGTTTATGTACTATCTCAAATTTACTAATCCTATTCATTGTGTAAGCTTTCAACCACATCTACTTTAAGGATTTTGAGATACTTAATTAACTCCCATGGTTAAGAGACTTCTACACAATTACTTAAGATTATATTTTGTCTCTTCAATGAAATACTGGTCACTTAAACTATCTTTTCACCACTTTAAATATCCAATACTACTTACAGTCTACATAGAATAGATGCTTAATAACCATTTGATGATCTAGCAATTAATGGAAAAAGGCGAATACATACATCTAGGAATTACTTCAAATATCAAATCTAAGTCTTATGAGTAAGATCTCCCATTAAGGTATTTGAAATTTTTATATCATATTGCTATTTTAAAGATATAACAGTTACAGAAGTTGTTTTCTTTGCATGTAACTATTGATGCTGTTTAACAATCAGTATTTTGAAAGCATGCAGAATTTCTTCATATTCCTACTAACATGAAAATGTTTTTCTAAGAAATACACGAGCCAGATCTACTCCAGATCTATTTATAAAAAGAACAAGATTAGGAAGTAACAATACATTCAAACAGGCAACATTACAGACCATATTACTTATTAATTGGAAAGATTATGGCATCAGATCAAAGAAATAAAATAGAGGCATATGTCTGAATATTTGTAAGAGTTTTGTAACAGTCAAGCAAGTTAATTTGTAGAATTGCAGAATTTGTTTCAATTTGATTGGAAGACAAAAACAATCATGGGGTCAAAGAGTATGGACATATGGCAACACAGATAAAAAGAACATTCAGTAAATGCCTGAAATCATTTATATCTTTTGCCAATGATTTTATGTTGCTGAAAAAATGGTATAAATTTATAAACACACACACTAAACTTGAAAGGAACACACACCTGTAAGGATGAATTTACATTTTAAAAAAATTCAGGGAAACATATAAAGAAAATTCATTGCAAAAAAGCCATGCTAGCGGGCTGGGGATATAGCTCAGTGGCACAAAGCCTGCCTGGCAAACACAAGGTCCTGAGTTTGAGTCCTGGTACCAAAAAAAAAAAAAAAGTCAGGCTAGAAATATGCAAAAAAATACCACTTTTTCTGCAACATAGAATCATTGGTAAAACATGTAAGTGATTTCAGGCATTTAATGAATGTTCCTTTTATCTGTGTTGCCATATATCCATACTCTGTCAGGATTTATTTTTTTCTTCCAACCAAATTGAAACAAATTCTGCAATTCTACAAATTAACTTGCTTGACTCTTATACAACTCAGAAATATTCAGATATATGCCTCTATAAATATAAAAAAATAACAAACTGTGTGTGCACAGGGGTGACGGGGGAGGTTGTCAAAATGTGATAGGTATATATACCAACTCCTCAACATGAATGTAATTACTATGTATCACAAACAATTATCAAAAATATTTTTAAAAGCATAACAACATGCCTACCAGCAAATGAAACAAATCTACAAAGTACAAGTTACCATAAAAAAATCATGCGGTTAACTTCGTTGAAGATAACAATATGTAATATAACAACCACTATTAATCCCTATCATTTGGTTTGAAACCCCGTCTCATTTTTAATGTCCTTGCTTTGTTTTGGTTGTATTTTACTATTGTTCTTTTCTTGTACTATTTTCTTTAAAATAAAAATTTTTTTAAAAATCATGCAGTTAATGAGAATCATTGTACATTATTGGCAGGATGTAAAATGTTGCAGACAAATGGGAACAGTTTGGGGGTTCTTCAAAAAGTTAAACAAAGTTACCGTAATTCCATTTTCAGGTATATACCTCAAAGAACTGAAAGCAAGCATTTAAATAAACACTTGTATTCAAATATTCACAGCAGTATTATTCACAAAAACCAAACGGTGGGAACAATTACCTAAACATCCACACCAGATGAAGGAATAAACAAAACACAGTAAATCCAGACAGTGGAGTATTATTCAGCCTTCAAAAGTGATGAAGTACAGACATACACTATAATGTACATAAACTTCTAAAACATTATGGTAAGTGAAAGAAGCCACACATAAAAGGCCACATACCAGGTGGTTCAGTTTACATAAAACATCCAAAATAGATTAATCACAGAGATAGAAAGCAGATTAGTGATTGCCAGAAACTAGAGAAAGGAGGAAATGGGGAATGACTGCTCAATGAGTTCCAGATCTCCTTCACTGGACTAAAAATTTCTGAACTAGATAGAGGTGATAACAACACTGTGCATATACTAAATGCCACTGAACTGAACACCTCAAACATTATGTTCCACTTCAATATGTACAAATGCCCCCAAAAAATGTAGTTGAAGATTAGACATGTTTATTATCTTTTTACATCACAACATATTGTATTAGTGTCCTCTCAGAGAGTTTGAGATACCTGATTACCAACCTTCTGTTCTTTAATCCTGTAAGAGGTATCTTATTAAAGCCACCACTTCTTTCCTCTAGAATCCTCATTGCCATATGGCTCAGTTGCCTCTTATTCTATCTTATTCTTCCTATCAATATGTCATTTTTTCCCTGAGAAACCCTTGTTCTACCATAAGTCAGCTCCCAGCTACCTTGTTTTATGTTCCCCAGGTTTATGACTTTAAAGCGATCATTAACTCCTTTTATCTCCCTTACCCAGTAAGTTATGTCTATATTCCCACCTAAAATTCCCCCTTAAATCCATTTCCTCCTTGCTATATTATACTGTATTCCTTCTACAACTACCTAGCTCAGTCCAGATTACTGCAAAGAAAGCTTCAACCTCACTCACTAGAATCCTTTCTAAAACAGAATGTACACATTACTTACCTGCTTGAAATCCTGCAATAGTTCCAGTATTTTTCAGATAGTTCTTTGAGATGGACATAGATATAGCCCTATTATGGGCTAGACCCTATTGCCCTCACTGCATTTATAATCCCTCACCTCCCAAATATCACCTCAAACTAAAATACCTGCACATCCTGAAACTCATTGTTTTCATTCTGCTATGCTTTTGCACATGCTATTCTCTTCACCCAAAACCATCCACTCCAACCTCACCACTGGTTCCCCTCTTCAAAGTTAAACTCTTATAACCTGGCCTCCAAGTCTTTTCCAAGTCTGACATAAGCATCTTCCCATGTTCCCATGCCAATTTTTCTTCCCTCCTAGTATGCTTTTAAGTTTAGCTCCTTTAAGACTGTCTTTCAGTGATCCAATATTTACATAACACAACTTTAATAAGCTTCCTCTACATGCCTCCTTTTTAAATGAAACCTGTCTTTTGCCAACAATACCTTGTAACTAGTCAGCTTTGCATGAAAACATCACCTTATCTTGATTTGACTTTATTCTGTTAAATAATTATTCTATCTTTTTTGCTGTCAAATTCTAAGGTCAGTAAACTATAGCCAATGCTAGCACAATTTTTATAAATAAGATCTTACTAGAAAAGTCATTCCCATTTCCTTAGGTATTATCTATAGCTGGTTTTCCACAAAGGCCTGTTGACTAGTTAGCTAAGAGAACCTAGGGCTTCAAAGCCTGAATAACTTCCTGTCTGACTCCTTAAGAAAAGACTGTTCTACCCTGAGGATCTGAGCTACAACTGTATTCAGTGTCATTATTTCTTCTGAAAACAGCTGAGCACCAGTAAAGGTTTTTAAATCAGCGGTAAAGTATCATGAGTTAAGGGGCATCTCAAGACTACTAGTGTACAGGAAACTATTCCAAGAGATCTGGCATTATGCACACAGTGGAAAACAAAGGAAAGACACTTTTTAAAGGAATGACTTTAAGACTGGGTAACTACTTGGGACAGAGGAAACAAAGCTAATGCCAAAATTTTAATCCTCAATAAGGTGACTAGTGAATTTGCACTCTCTCCTACTATCTCCTACTTTAGACTCAGCTTTTCATGTTTTCCTATCTTATTGGCTAATTAGTTTAGTTTCTAAAATCATGGTACTAATTCCATATCTTCTGTGTACTACACTTGCTATAAGGTTAACTCTTGGGAAAGCAAAATATTTCGGAAAAGGCAATCCCAACAGAGTTCCAAGCTGAGTACAAGAGCAATGTCAGAGATAGACGGAGATAGAGAACTCACCTGTGGTATCAAGCAGAGAGAGAAAACTAAGATTTCAGGTCCAGAACTGGCTCTAGCCAAACAGGAAGAAGTAGCTACAAATTTGCTTACAGAAGAAGCTGAGGGTCTTTGGTACTCTACATATTCTTTCTGATGTTCAGACAGACCACCATTAGAGTAGCCTCTGATAAGAAAGTTTCATGAGAAACAAGATCAAAAAGTGAAGAATTAAATGGAGCAGACCCTGCTGGTCTTTAGTCTAGGAAAAGCAGTCCTTATTAAAGATGACACTACTTTCCAAAATGGCCCTTATGATACTAACCTTCAGTAACAGAGTTTTCACATCCCACAAGGTTAAGAAGGATATCATCATCTTTCTCATCTACTTCACACCCCAGGAGCATCCAGTTTTCCACGTTTTCACTTTCAGAAATGACGCTTTCTTCCTCTTCACTTGAACTGACCTCTATAATCATGACCTCTCGGATCACACCTGATTTTTCTTCAGGTTTAGGCTTCTCAATTTCCCGTTTGCATTTCTTATCAGCCAACTCAGAATAAGGAGAAGCAGGAGGGCCTCTGGTCTTTTTCTGTGCTTGGACTCTAATATTCTTTCTTTTACATCTATAAATACTATCTTCATCAGACAAAGTGATGACGTCTGACCCATCTGATAGCTGGATGACCTCACTATCGGAAAGGACAATTAAGTTCTGATGTGATTTAGTACTCAACTCAGAATTCCCAGAGTTCTTTTCTTCATGTCCTTCCTCCCTGATAGCATTATCAAGATCTTGGGCATAATGAACTTGGCTGTAGAGCTGAAATTCCACTTCACTATCAACACTCAGTTCACTAGATGATTCTTCACGATAAAGATCATCTTCGTAAGCTTCTATAGTCTCATAGCCACCAAACATCATGGAAAGTCAGTAACCTCAATTCTGTAAAAGAGAAAATCACATAATATATTTTAAAAGCTCAGATTCTGTCCGGTTAGTGCATGTCACCCCACAGAGCCAACTTCTATGTGAAAGTCATTACTTTTTCTCTGACACATTAAAATACATTTTTTCTCTTACAGGATCTTTTCCCTATGGATTTCTAAATCCTGTTATGACTACTATAATAACATCCATCCTCTCAAATGAGAATTACTATCAATAAATTGAGCTATAGTTATTAATGGAAAAATAATTCATAGGTATAGTGGAAAAGAAAAACTAGTTGAGATCTACTGCTTGACACTGAACATCTGTTCTCCAAAATGTTAAGACTTGCAAAGAGATTTTAGGTATCTCTTGCTATTCCATTTATTTCTCATCTCTTCCTTGGTTCTGGTTCTGTATCTCCTCTTCTCACAAATACATCCTTATAAAGGAATATTACTACAACTCTGACTAAAATTCACAGCATGAAGCCACCACCGCATTTCTGTTGGAATGTAGATGTTAATTCTCAATTTAAAAATGAATCTCAGGGCAAAGGGGTGCAGTTCAGTGGCAGAGCACATGCCTAGCATGTGCAAGGCCTTGGGTTTGATACCCAGTGTGAAAAAAAGTTTAATCTCACAACTGTCTAATCCTTGGCCAAAAGAATAGCCTTGTAAAAATCTTTGATAAAACGTTATTTCTATATTAGTTATAAAAAATATATACAAAATATAAACTTACTAAAACTTAAAATTAAGGCAAAACTCCTGGCTTTGGAAATGTATGCATAAAGAAAAACATTTCACTTTCCTACTATGCACAATTAAATGATGCTCGTCCTACAACTCAGCTTTAACATTACTTCCCACAAGACTAACTGTGTCCTTTTTTACAGTCTTCCGTAGCACTTTACATTTCAAAACACTCATCACATTTCTAATTACTTATTCAATGTAAATGTCCCAGAAGCACACATCACAAACCTCAGAATGGCAGGAACCCTACGCACTTTAGTTACATAATGGATACCGAAGCCAAAGGTAATGTTTGGGGGGACTTCAATATACATTTGTTGAATTAATCAATGAGTAAATGATACAATTATCATCAGGTTTTTGTTCTTCAGGCCTGATAAGTCTAGTAGCTTCCTATAATATAGAAAGTACAATCAAATAGTATCAGTTGTCTTCAACTATTCCAAAGAAGAAATTCTCTTATCAACCAAAATTCTACACAGGAGTTTCAATTATATACTTATGAAATATTGGTCAAAATGAGAGTTATGGAAAAACAAGTCATATTTATTCAAAAATTAAAGATACTCTAGAAAACAGTTAACAATGCCAATTTAGTCTTTCACTTTGAGCTACAGAGATAGGAAGAACAGTCACTTTCTCAGTTTCCCAATTCTCTGTCGCAAATGTCAGGAGTTAGGGATGGTGATGGTAGTTTTGGTGACAGAACCAAATGATCCAATAAACAAATAAACAAGAGCCCCAAATGCACTAAGTTCAACCTGCAGGTTTGGTTTTCGTGTGTGTGTGGGTTTGTTTGGGGTTTTTTGCTTTATGAAAATGAAGAAAGCAACTGTTAATATCTTTTTTCTTCTAAAGGCCCAATATATCTGTCTCCTTGTAGAATTATCTTTCAGGTTGCTATACTGTTACTGTCATACAACTTCAATGTGGCTGTCTGAATGATAATGCTCATACCATTTATCAATTTATATTGAAATGTTAGCCTCAGAGGAATTCAAATGAAAAACGAATTCTTTCCTTTTTATTTAATAGGTAAATTAATTCTAAAAGAAGTCAAAGGAATTATGCTTCCTTCAAAATCCTCACTGGATCCATCCTGAAGGATCCAGTGTGGACTTAAGATAAAACATAATTCCAGTGCAGCACAGAAAAAAATTAAAGAGCTAAATTACAGAGTTACAAATTTGTACTGCTCTTGGAGCCATCCCAAAGGAAAAGGATTAAGAACAGAGCCATAGGCACACCTGTAAATGTATGCCAAAAATAAACTATGGAACTATAATAAAAACTGACTTCCTTGGGTCTAAGGATTTATCTCTTTCCCTGAAATGTAGAAAAATGGATTTAACAATTTAGCCCCTATGGCCTTTAAGAGGATTTTGTACTTCTGTACTTGAAAACTGTGCTCAGGCAAAACTCGAGCTCTTCTATTTATGTAGCTTATATATGCCAGGGTTAAGGTTTGCCTCAGGCTGTTTTGGTTTATGTTACTACTTTAATTACATTCAGCTGCATTAAAAAAAAAAAAAAAAGTATACTGGGAGATGAACATAAAAATTTATTTATATATATATTGATGCAAAAGTCTTTCTCAGCTTTGTGATCACTGTACAGGATTTCCAAGTATGTTTAAACAGAAGGTCCTCATGGAAGTCTTCAACTTTTAAATCCAAAAGGTACCTTCTGAATTATTTCACACAGCCTCCTTAATGGACATATAAAGAAACTGAGGTCCAATGAGATAACAAGGCCTATCTAAGGTTAGGCAGCTGGTTAAAACACAACTAGAACTAATTCACATTTTCCTGACTCTCAGCCAAACTTCACTAAATTTTTTTTTTATTTTTGTCACTAAGATTTTAAAAGAAATAATTTCTGATATTGTTATCTGTTTATTGGCTCTACCACCTAAATTTACTTCACACATATCCCTTTTACTTCTCACTGGTGTATAAAACTATGAAAGAGGCATTTTAATTAGAAGAAAAAGCACATGTTTAAATCTGTCAATTCAGGATCCAAAAATCTCCCAAGTTGGTACTCAAAGACTTTGTCAATCCTGACTGGAAAGACTGTTCCTAAATAAGAATATAAAATATCAACTAAGTGTGAAACTTATTTTAAGAATTAAAATGGCTTACCAAAAAACACAAAACAACTACAAAAAACTACAAAGTTCTTCCCATCAAAAGAGGCAGCAGTATTCATTCACTCACGCTTTTAACACTGGACAAGGTTTGTTTAAGCTCTTGGAATGTACTTATACAATCTTTATTAAAGCAATGTTTCTGCTTTAATAATCCACCCATCGGATCATTCCAAATATTTTGCTCTTATTTCCTTTCAAAGCATCTTCAACTTAGATGTTCACTCTTAATCACATAGGCATCCACTTCAGGCATATTTGAATAAAACCCACAGTTATCTCT